TTCAGAATGATCAATATGCCTGAAACACACAATATAAGTATAGTATCTTTATAAAAGCATACAAGAATCCAATAAAAGCCTAATAAGGATGCTACTCAACCATTTTTAGTTGATCAACAAGCTTGTCAGCTGGATCTTAGAGTGAAGTGAAATAACACTGATCCATATGATTTCTCGTCACAATCTGATCCGACTGATCTGACTGTGGACAGTGAGGCTCAGCAGAGGGATCCAAAATGAGGGAAACATAACCAAAGCAGAGATAATGCTCTGACAGAGTTCCTTCACGCGGACTGTTCTGGCTGCGCTAAGAGTTCTTTACATGCATTGGGCCTCTTCACATCATAATGGCCCATCCTGGTTTTTTTGTAGTAGGTCAAGTAGATGTAGATGAAGATGACAAAGATGACCACCACTACAGCACCAATAATGACTAATATTATGGGTATGTAATTCTGTGTCAAAAATAAAAACAAATATATGAGTAAATCAGCAATTTAGTGAATGAAATCCAAGCAAGCAAAACTTAGGATAGATCACTATACTGCATCATGCATGCTAATCTAAATAAGTCTAGAAAAACCCATGCAAGACAACAATGACACAAGCCATAACACTTAAATATAATAAGCCATAATGTGATCACAGTGACACTAACACTGCAAGCAGAGCATTACAAGACCAACAAACCAAGCAGCTTCTTACAAAAATGTAAATACTTTGTGAAAGACCAAAACACTAACCGCAAAAGATGCTGTGCAGAAATCAGAAAGTGTGTAAATTGATTTAGGAAGGAAGAATGAAATTTGCATTAGTCAAAGACAAATAGGTAAAAGACAAAAAGAATCAATCACATGCATCTGTGATTTTTAACAGAGGAACTTCAAATGATGTTACATAAAATCTATCCTGACAACATACCATTAAATTGTTTTTTCATAATAAAATTATATTATTATTAATACATTATATTAAATGCATATTTAATATAACCAAAACATATATTTTGTTTAATATCAGAATAACAAATACAAAACATACAATTGTGAAACAGACACAATTCCTTTCTGTAGTATTACCGTCAGTATTACTAAACTGAAACATGGTTAATGGAAAATGACACACAAATGCATAGTTACCTTGTATGGACACTTTTACATGTCTGGTCTTCCTGCCAACAGAATTGCTTGCAGTGCAGTACAGATCCTCAGGTGTTGACTCTGTTATATTAAGTTTTTCACTATGTGTGCTATGTACTGTGTCATATGCGCCGAGGCTCCAGCTGATTGTTGGTTTTGGGTTTCCCTCTGCTTCACAAACAAGCACCTCTGGATAGCCTCGAAACACATGCACTACGGAGGGCAGTTTGGTCTCATTGATGATTGGTTTAACTGTAGGAAGGAGCCAAAAACACACAGGTTAAGAGCTTTTGCATCTGCATACTGCATCTTACATTTATGTTAATCCATATTTGTTTTTAACAAAACTACTCAAATGTAGATATTTACAGTGGGGAAAATTATTTATTTGATCCCCTGCTGATTTTGTAAGTTTGCCCACTTACAAAGAAATTAAGGGTCTGTAATTTTTATGGTAGGTTTATTTTAATGGTTAGAGACAGAATACCAACCAAAAAATCCAGAAAAAACGCATTATATAAAGGTTAGAGATTGATTTGCATTTCAGTGAGTGAAAAGTATTTGATCCCCTACCAACCATCAAGAATTCTGGCTCCCACAGATTGGTTATGTGCCCATGTGGAACACAGATTAGTCCTGTCACTTTAAGAAATTACTCCTAATGTCAGCTCATTAGGTGTATTAAAGACACCTGTCCACACAATCTGTATCTTCCATTCCAACCTCTCCCACCACCTTGGGCAAGACCAAAGAGCTGTCAAAGGATGTCAGAGACAAGATTGTAGATCTGCACAAGGCTGGAATGGGCTACAGGACCATCAGCAAAAGCTTGGTGAGAAGGAGACAACTGTTGGTGCGATTATTCGGAAATGGAAGAAATACAAAACAACCATCAATCGGCCTCGGTCTGGAGCTCCGTGCCAGATCTCGCCTCATGAGGTAAGGCATTAACTCAACTCGCCGTGTTTGGAGGGAGAGAAATGCTGACTATGACCCCAAGAACACCATCCCTACAGTCAAGAACAGAGGTGGAAACATTATGCTTTGGGGCTGTTTTTCTGCTAAGGGTACAGGATGACTTCACCGCATTGAGGGGCAAATGGACGGGGCCATGTACTGTAAAATCTTGGACGAGAACCTCCTTCCCTCAGCCATAACACTGAAGATGGGTCATGGATGGGTCTTCCTGCATGACAATGACCCGAAACATACCGCCAAGGCAACAAAGGAGTGGCTCAAGAAGAAGCACATTAAGGTCATGGCGTGGCCTAGCCAGTCGCCAGACCTCAATCCTATAGAAAATCTGTGGAGGG